GTATTATGTTATAATTGAAATTGTGTTGTAATTAATTATGGTTATTGTTACTAGTATAGTTAATAATATATTTATAATAAAATAAGTTATTATATAAACTATAAGTTTATATTTAGTTTTTTTAAATATAAATCATGTACTAAACAATTTTAATATTAATTAATACATTATTTCATTTTGTATAGTTTAAAACAACAGTATTGATATTATTTGTTATATAGTAGAGTACCGTGAAAAATCACTGCGGCGTGAAATATTACTGCGAATTGTTATTAGGCAAAAAATAATGTTATTAGGGGTTTTAAAACATTTTGGTTTAATTTTTTTTTGTTATTCGAGACTGTTAAAATGAAAAACGACAATTTTGTTCTACAAAATCTTTTGAGGCTAAGTCAACAGATTGTGTTAAGAGGAAAAAATGGTGTTTTTATATAATATTTATGAGGGTTTTGTTTTTTCCTTTTCCAATTGAAAAACATAACTATTTTCAATTTTTTGTTATTACAAAAAGACAAATTCTAAATTATAGTTTCACATATCCAAAAATTATTATATCAAGTAAAAATTTGTTTTGATATTTTCAAAATGTGAAAGAATGTGTCAAAAATTGATATTGATTTACCCGTTACATCAATTTATGAAATATAATTTTATTGTACAGTTGATATCTCTGACAAAATATGTACACATTTTAACAATAAAGTTGTGCTTGATATCGTATTGTTGTTGGAGATTAAAAATTACCAATAAAAATTCGTTCTCATAATTTTAATAACCAAATAATCACTTAACAATATATTTTTACTCTGATGTATAAAATGAATTCTTTAGTTGCTTTCATATGATTCATTATTCGAAAAATCATTACTCAATGTCTTGTAGATGTTTTATAAAAGTCGTTGATTTTTTTAAGTAAAAAATTTAGAGAAAGAATCTAATACGTCACACCGTGACACAAAAATGGTTTAAAAACAAAACTAATAAACAATATAATTATCTATTTCATAACAACATCTGTAATATCGAAATCGTTTAGTAAATACTTGACATGTTGGTTGTATGATCACTGTCTATTTTTATTGTTGAATGATGTGGAAATACAAACACAATTCACATCAAATAAATCAAACAATAAACTGTTATTATAGTATAAATTTAATTAAAATATAATAAACAACAAACAAGTGAAATAGTTAATTAACGTGTATTTTTAATTAACATCAACATATCAATAGCAAAAATTTATAATAAAACAACAATAAATTATAATTTATTTTTTTAATGTAAAACTATTTTTAATAATTATTTTCATATAATTAAACTAGTTGATTAAATATGGATAATTTTATTACAAATTACTATTATTTTAAAAGGGTTAAAACACCAGAACCCCAAACAACTTAATTCTTTCATTTCGACAAATTATTTAAATTTTAAATTGGTGTGATTAAATAATCGACCATTTGAAAACCCCACACTCGTTAACCGTTTGTTATCGTCAAATTAATTTATATTTTATAAATTTATCAATATAATATGTTTATAACGTGTTTTTATATTTTGTTTATGTTTATTGTATTGCAATTTGTGTTGTTATAATAATTACGAAGTTGAAACGTTTATTCAATCTTTATAATTCGAGTTGATATTTCTGTGTGTTTTTGTATTATTATTATGTAAAAACATATTGATTATAATGGTAATTTAAGCTTATTCAATAGAGTTTATAATTTGAATATTCACAACAAAAATTAACCACTAGATGAGCAGAAATCAAATTTCATATTATGGTGTCCAAAAGGTGGACTATTTATTCAAATTTTCGATGTTTAAATTTATTCGTTTTTGTTATTATGTTTTGATGTATTGTTTTGTATTATAAGTTATAAATTGTTAAAAACTATAAAATAAAAACCAATATCTAGTTTGAGTTGTTTGGAATGTTCGTTTTTACGAATTTACCCTTGTTTTAATTGAAAGCCATATTATATAACATTTTTACAAAGTAAATTATTTTTTATGTTTTAGAAGCAACAATAACATTATTTTTTTGCCCAATAACAATTCGCAGTAATATTTCACGCCGCAGTGATTTTTCACGGTACTCTATATTTAATAATTAACAAACATTTTTGAGTTTGATTATTATTATTATTTAATATAGTTTTAAAATATAAATATTTGGTTAATAACGTTAAATATAAATATGATAATAAACCTTTATTTATTATTATTAAACTGTTTTTCAAAAGTCGGTACTGAGGTGTCCCGATTGTTTGCATTTATTTTGTTTATTATTTTTGGGAATCGTTTTTTGTAATAAATTCACTTATTTTTTCTAAGTAAGAAAGAGAAAAACGGTCTTCAAAAAATATTTTTTTACTTGAAGAATTTTTAAGCATTAAAAAATTCCATATAAAATTTAAAATAACAGGATTTTTGTTTTTGAAATACACGTGAATGTTCCCAAAAGTGCATTTTATTATAAAAAGCTGATAAATTTAATGCCAAAAATTTTCAAAGTCGAGTCTTCATTTATTAATAAATAATATTAATAACAAGCGCTAAAGTATGGCGTAATATCGATATACTGATAGTGTTGTCACAACAATGACTGAAATATCAAAACACAAAATTATTAATTGTTTGCTCTTATTTATTTTTTCTTTAAAACTCGTTATTTTATTTTCTTTTGTTTAAAGAACAAAACCACATGTTTGTTTTTAATAAAAATGAAAAACTAACGAAACTGATATTCAGTTACAAATTGACACAAACAACAACAACCCAATTTATTAACGTGTTTATCGTTGTATGATTTGACCAACAACGTTGAGTTTGTGTTATGAAGTATAGAGTTGAGGTCAAATCAAATAACGGGATCGGTTTTTTTTGGAAAAGGCTGGCTAATATTCCAATAAATTCCCGATATTGACTTGCTAAAGTTAAAACAAATATACATGCAAATTAATTGATTTTTTGTTGGTGTTTATTAATAAAAACAATATGTTCATACTATTAATAGAATAGTTCATTACAAACTTAATCAATAATATACTATTACTTTAAAATAGTTTTAATAATAAATGTAGACGTTGTTATTGTAAAAAATATAGAAACAGCCAATTTATTGTTTTCTGATTGGTCATATCCTAATTAATAGTGTTTAGTTCTTCTACGTTGTAATTTTAAATACAAATTTTATTGTGTTAGTTTATATACTATAATATATTGTAAAGTCGGTTTTAATAATAATAGCCTTGCTATAAAAAGTTGTTCATTTTGAAAAAATACACAATGGAACATTTCAAAATACATAACAGATATTATTCTGTACTAAAATGATTGAAAGATTAAAAGTAAAACATATAACCTTCAAACGTTATTGGCGATACACAACTGATTATGTTATTTACAATCATATTATAAACAATGTTTATATTAAATTTCAATTGTGGATAACATATTTGTTATTTATAAAAGTAATATTTGGATTTAAAACATAAAATTTTAAGCCAAAAGCTGTTTTTGCAATTTATCAGAGATAAAAAGTGTCAAAGTTAATAAATTTGAAGTTGTTTTCTGTTTTTTGTCGACTTCAATTTTATAGAAATACCTAATTGCAACATTCCCAAAAAGGATATACACAAAAGTGTTATTCATTTCAATTTGTGGTATTTTGGCTTTTTAATGTGAAACTGTCTTTTTGCAATCAGTTGAATTCCATATTTAAAATTATCAAAATTCCGTGATACCAATTTAAACATTAAAAAAGATGAAATTTCAGTGTCAGAAAGTTACTATCAAATTGGATGAAAACAATTGGTCAGAAGAAAAATCGTTTTATTTTACAGTTTTTTTTGCAAAATCATTTTTCTGTAAGAGCTTTACTCAATTTTTGCTTTTCATAAGATAAAATTCATAACCGTAGAAATCAATAACTAAAATGATGAACACTTCATGTGTTCATTTTCAAAAAATAATTTTTATTGTTAGATTCCAACAATGCATTAATCTCTGTTCATTTCTTTGTGTGTGTGGCATCATATGTAAAGCAATTCTGCTTTTTATATACTCTCTTGTTGATTTGGATAAAACTATATTACCAAGAGATACAATGAAACACTCAACTCAATCTACTTCTACTGTTGATCGACAGGTAAAGTCTTTTACATTTAAATTTCATTTTTGCATTGAATAAGTTTTGCATTGTCATTGTTTTTACTTCAACTCTGTTGTGACAGCCTTGATCAAAAGAATATTTGAAACGACCACAAGATGTAAAAAGAAGAAGAACAATGTGTCTTTACCTTGTTGGGACAATTGGTTTCAGCTTTCTAGTTTTCGAATGTTATAAATAAAAGTTTAAAAAATTTTAACAACACAAAGTGAAACAATCTTTGAATAGTAACAGTTAAATAACTCATTTTAGTATATTTTATTTGGAAAACTTTATTAAACTGTTTTATTTGTTTTAATGTTGTATTTTTTATATTCTCATCATTTTTTTGTGTTGTATTTTGATTGTTTTGAAATAAAAATATAAATTTAAATTCAATTATTAAAAAAATGAATTAATAACTGAGTTCGAAAACACGAACACTTTTTGGTATAAATGTTTGGCCATCAATGAGATCTCCACTTCGAGTTATGTAACTACTTGGAGTACATTTGCTTAAATTTAAACCACATTTTGCAACAGTAATGTCACTGTTATTATTAACATCATCATGTTTTCCAAATGTAAAGAGATAAGGATTGTCTTTAGTACAAGTTATAATAGAATTGTCAATTTGTCCTTCTTGTAACCCGAATTTTTGAGGGTTATATATCCCATTTCGCATTAGCGAGAAGATGAATGATTCTTCCATTATATAACCTATTTCACGATAAAATCCCCAACTGTAATACACTCCTCCAAACTTATTCTTTTGGTCATCTTCAATCAAAAAGAGATAATTGGAATTTCCTTTTATTTTGTCATCAAACACAGATGTGTCTTAAGACCAATCATCTTTAATTGAATTGAAAACGATATTGGAAATTGTCTTATTTGACAATTCCTCGAGTTTTTCACGTTCACCATTTTCAAGACCAAAATTAAAATTTTGTTCCATTTTTGCACGTTCGTTTTTGATTTTTTCTATTTTTGAAAGTTCAACTTGAAAATCGTCTTCAAGTTTTTTTCTTTTAATTCTAAAGTCTTCTGTGTAAAGTTTATTCAATGTGTCTATAGAATTGTCCAATTCTTTTTTGTTTGTTGGTATATCTTTAGTGTGTTGTTTTGTTATTGCTGTTAATAACAGAACATCTTGCAAAAGTGACTGCCACTCCGTTCTCAAATGCAACTTTTTCTGATAATCTTCATCGAGTATTTCAAATGCCTTTTCTGCTTCTTTAATTTGCTCTTGGAGGGGCATTTCGTTTTGTTTTTCACCCTTTATGACTAATTCAGTTGGTTTTTCTTTTGGGTCGTTAAAAAGTTTGGTGATCAGAGATGTTACGGTTTTAATTTGAGCTTTTACTTCTTCCATTTCTTTGTTTTATTAGTGTTTTTAGTTGAAATGAACAATATTTAATTTATAATTTATTTAAAAATAATAAATGTAAAAACTTAAAAATGAGATGGATTTATTAATTTATTTTAATTAATAATTAATAAATTGATTATAATAAAATATTATTATTATTCTAAAAATTATTATCAATAAATAATTTTTATTATCATTGATTAATAACAATTAACTGATTTCTTTCTAATTTAATAAATAATTAATATTGTGAACTATAATGTATAATAAAAATTATTTTTACTAAACATTATAGTTTATTATTAACAATATTAACAAAAATTATTTTATATTTACTACAAGGATTCACCCCACCACCAAGTGGCGGGGACCCCAAAACAGTAAAATAATAACATATTTATAATTAAAATTAGACAATCACCAATAAAAGTGACCCAAACAAAGAAAAATTAAGCTAAAGCTATATAAATATTACTTATAATATATATTTGAGTAATTATTTTAAATTACTCATATATATGTGAATGTTATAATAATTTCGTTTTAATAACCTTAGAACGTTGATTAAAAGTCACTTATTTTCTATCCCCTCCTGTTGTGACCAAATATAATATACTATTAATTATTTTTTTTAAACAAAAAAATAATCAAAACCATACTTACTTTTTCTTTACATTTGGTACATATTGTGTGGAAGTGTTCATAACAGCACCAAACATCAAATCCTTTATGAGAGCAAGAATGCATTTGAATTCAGTTCTTTTTACATGAACAAACAATCATCTTCATTTTTGGACACATATTATTTTGTATTTTCTTTCTGAGTGTTCAAAGGCGTGTTCTTTATTGAAGTTAAAATCCTTGATTAAACTAATCAATTTGGTTAAGTTAGTTAAGTTGATTTAATTAAATTTTTGTTAATAATTAATTATATTATATTATTTATAAAATATATTTAATTTAATTAATAAAAAGGACAGACATGAAAACGAAGGATAGGTAAAATGGGTTAAAAGATGTACCTTGTGGTTTAAAGACGTCATCCCGCTATTAAGGGCATCCTTTCTTTTATTTTCGTGTCCGCCGCGTTTTCAAAACTATGAATAGAGTTATAATATTACTATGTATTTACTATTAAAAAGTATAATTATTTCCAAAAATACATTTTATCACAAACAAACACAAAATTATAAATAAATTTATTATAAATTAATGGTTTTAAAAATAATTATTTTTTTTCGTTTGATATTCGAGGCACTTCGTAAATTATTTTATATTTGGATTATTTTTTTAAAACCATTTATTTATTACAAAATTACTTGTAGTATAGCGTTTGTTTACTCTTTATTTATTTTTGGAAATTATTATTATTTATAATAGTAAATTCATTGTAAAAATATGATTCCTTATATAGTTTTGAAAATGCGCCCTTTATCGTCGGAGGACATTCCTAAACCACAAAAGAAGTAATTTGGCCCATTTCCCCGTCCTTCGTCCTGTCTCTCTAGTTAATTATATTTAATCAAAACTCTTTTTTTCATAATTAAAAAAAAGTGGATGTAAAAAAAACTATAATTTTTATTATTTTTATTAGTTACTCTTTCCTACGATTAATATGGGTGCAAAGAGGCTTATCTAAAAATACAAATTAGATTTTCATTTTAATCATTTGTAAACTATAAAATATTTTTTTTGTTAATTTTACAAAAATTTATACAAACATCATATTTATGATGTTTGTATTTCCTTTTGATAACAAAAGACGTTAATATGATGTTCAGATTACTTTTTAATACACAAACATCAAATTAATGATGTTTGCGTCCCTTTATGTAATAATTTAATCCATTACTTATGATTTTTAACTAAAATTCAAAAACGATCATCTGCCATATTTTTTTGTTCCATAAATTTTGCGTCTATTTTTATATTTTTATTATTTACTATAAATTATAATAAATTATATGTTTAATATATAGTTGTTTTATCATTTTTTGTATTTTTCCACATATTTTTCAACCCTGACAATTGAAAACGGTTACAAATTAACTATAAAATAGTTGTTTTTATTTCTATTTAACTATATTGAAAACCAAAAATAGATGTTACGGTTAGGGCAGGTAGCCCGGCCGAAATCTATTTTATATTTACTATATTTTTAATTGATATTATTATTCTGAATGTAAAAAAGTTTATTCCAAAACCTACAAATAATAAATCTGTATTTAAACTATTTTATATAATTAAATTTATTATTTCTTAATAATATTAGTAACACTCAAACAAACCAAAAATTTGATTTATTTTCATTAAAAAAATTGATTAGCTTTTTTTTTCAAATTTCAATTCCAAAAATACCATACGTATAATTATAGAATAATTAGTAATTGTATTAAATTTAAGTTCCATATTAAAAATTGATTAAATCATTTGATGAAGTTGTGTTGTGTCATCACATGTAAAGTAATTGTGCTTACCATATTCTCTCTTCACTTTGCTACTCCTTGTTTTTCTTTCTTTCAATATAACAAAGATATATATACTCACAATAAAGGCAAGCTTTTTTGCAGGAGCCGTTGTTGATATTTTAACATTAAAATTGTTTGACAAATTTATAGAAAGAAGTCGAAACTACTATATAAATGAATTTTATATATCACTGACCATCTCATTTATAAATTTGATCTTGGCAATTGTATTTATAACTATGGCAGTGTTATAGTTAAAGATATCTTGACTTCTTTTGGTGTATCAAAAGAAGTCAAGAAATCATATATATTTACTTCGAATGGCGTTGTGATCTGTATGTTCATTATATTCGTCATCTTTTTAGTCGTGACTTTCACTCTGAAGTGTAAAGACTTTACACTCCAAGACGATGAAATAGCCAAATTTGAAAAAACTTTGTAATATGTAATAATAAAAGGTATATTTACTCACAATCCATATTATTTTATTGTTTTTAATTTGAAAAATGCAGGAAAAACAATAAAAATTTGTTTTTTAAATTTTAATTAAATGATAACAATTGAAATGTAATAATTGTCAGAAGATTTCATAAAATTAAGTATCTTCATCATAATATTCAACAATAAACATATTACATATTTGATATTGACTTATAAATTACTAAAACAGTGATTCTAGCTTGTTAGTGCGAGCTACAAATTTAACGACAAATTCAAGATGAATGCCAACGCACAGAAGTCGAAAGTCAATGGAAATCGTCTCAAGTTGGACTTGGCGCAGATTACACATCCGACAAATTTAGTGGTTCTGCCAAATACACCAAATCCAAAATTGGCAGCACAAAGACGACAAGTGGGTCGATTAATGGAAAATACAAATTCAATGACAAATTCTCAGTGAATGGCAATGCACAAAAAACAAATACCAATGGACAGAAGTCTACGAGTTTTGGAGTCGGAGCAGATAACACTTCCAAGAAACTGACTGCCTCCACATCCTACACACAAAACAAGAGTCCAAATTCAAAGACTAAGAACTTGAAATACTCCGCAACATACAAACCCACAGACAATCTCAAACTGTCGACGGACGGATCCTTCACAAAGCAAAATGGTCAAAAGAGCCGCGACCTCTCTGCCTCCGCTGATTACACCTCCAAAAAGCTCGACGCCAATTTGAAAGTTTCAAGCAGCAAAAGTGTCCAAACGAAGTCGAAGAGTATCGCCGGTGGAGTGACATACAGACCGACGGACAAAGTCACAATAGGTGCCAACGGCAAATATTCCAAAACAAACGGCGTCGCCTTTAAAGAAGTGAACGTCAAAGGAAGTTATACCGGAGACAAATTGAGTGTGAACGGAGGTTTGAGTTCCGGTAAAAATGGGAATGACAAAACAAAGAGTTTGAGTGTTGATGGGAAGTACAAAGTGAACGACAAATTGACCGTCTCGGGCGGAGCGAAGAGAAAGAACACAAACGGGAATAAAAGTAGTGAAGGGAACTTGAAGGCGGAATATACCGGCAAAAAAAGTGCAGGCGACACTGGATTTGCAACAATCTCAAACCGGTAAAAGTAAGAGTGGGTCAGTTGATTTTCAAGGGAAATATCAGCCGAACGAGAAGAGCGAAATTCATACAAATTTTAAGACGTCGAAAAGAGACGGGAAACGACAGAACGAGTTTGGGATAGGTGGAAGTTATAAGGCAAATGAGAACACAAACTTCAATGTCGACTTCAATCGAAAAGATAAGAAAAACACTGTGAGTGTTGGAGGGGAATATAAGAACGACAAGTTCAACGTGAAAGGAAACGCGAAGGTTGAGGGAGGAGATAGAAGTGTTGAAATTGCCGCTGGGTATAATCCTAATGACAAATTTGGGATTGAAGGTAACGCAAAGTTTGGGAAGGAAAACAGAAAGAAGATCAATTCATATGGAGTGAAGGCATATTATAAGCCGAATGATAAATGGGACTTGAATGCCGAAATTAATAAGGCAAATGGAGGAAAAGTGAGGTATACTGTTTGAGCGGATTATAAGATTAATGATCGGGCGAAAGTGGGAATGAGAGTCGGAAGAGATGAGAGTAGAGGCAATTTTGTTGGAATTGGAGGATCAATTTCGTTCTAATTGATAGTTTAAAATTTAAGTTGATAGGATTGGTTTTATTTTGTGATAGAACGTTTTATTATTAATTGTGTGAAATTGTGATAATGTTTGAGTTGATATATCTAATTAAAGTGAGGAGAAAAACACACATTCATTTTCTTTTATGTTCTTTGATATTATAATCTAGTCTCTTTATTAAGTACACAGATACTTATTGATATTAAAAACACTCCATAATATTCATTCGCTGTTGAGTGACGCAATACATAATTATTGATGTTGAAGCAGCCGAAGCGACTTCTTTGTCATATAACCAGTTAAGTGTAATTGTTTATCATTTGTTATAAAATAAACAGATTGTGGTATTTTTCTGAACAAATATATTATTCAAAGTAATGTTTGAATACAAACACATATGTGGTAAAGGGGTGGAAAAAAACCGCTTTAGGAAAAAAACCGCTTTTGATAAATTTTGGTGAATAATGGTAAAATGTTTTCTAAATGTTATTTTATTTTATTTTTTTATTTAAACAAAAAGAAAAAAAAACATCATTTTCATTTTGCCCGAGCATTTATTCGAAGTGTTTAGAAGAAGGCTGTTAAAGTCTATTTATATTACGGTTAATAGTTGAGTTATTACAGAAATTATTTGTAAGTAAACGGGATATTACCAACATAATAAAGACATTTAACCAAAAATACGTTCGTTTTAAAATAAAAAAAATAAACATTAAGTATAATAATTTTAATAAATAAATAAAACAAGAATGAATATCGGCTTCATCTTTATCGGCTTCATCTTTATCGGCTTCATCTTTATCGGCTTCATCGTTATCGGCTTCTTCCTTGACGTCACTTTAATACCATTTTCTTCATTGTGTTGCTGTCTAATAAACAAACAAATATTGTTTAACTTTGCATTAAACGTTATAATTTGTAATTTACACTTTACAAGTTCTTTTTTATACCCTTCTCCATTTTTTGATTATTAGAACTTTAAAAATTTATATTTTACAGATTTTTATTGCGATAAAACGAGTTAATATTAAATAGAAAATTTAATCAAAATAAATAAAAAAAATAAAACCAAGTTATTATTTTTCTTTTCGAGGTTTCTTTTCATTTGAAATTTTGTTCTTTTCATCCTTTTTGATTTTCATAAGTTTTTCAACATCGAGCCTGTGCTCTCTATCAAAAAAATTCTCAATGGAGACTCTAACAGTTTGGGTTTCTTTTCTTTTTGGATCCTTACCAAGAAAAGAGCAAACCTCTTTGGCATAAGACATGTCAACTTTTGCAACACCTTTAAGAAGGTCTACAGTGTTGAAGTTGGGGTTGACACGTCTCGTGTTTTCCAACTCTTCTTTTGATGGGTGTTGAACCACGTATATTATACCAGCCTGTTTGAAGGCGCTGGTCATCGTGTCGCCATCAGACACTACTTCCCATGAGTAAACAAGCTGCCTAATTTTGTCTTCCTCCGAGAGCTTTGCAAATTTTTTCAATGCATTTTTGAACTCGGGTGAGTTTATTTTGAAAATTTTCCCGTTTCTTTGGACCTTTTCG